CTCCACAGAGCTCCACACAGCTCCACAGAGCTCCTCACACCTCCACAGAGCTCCACACAGCTCCACAGAGCTCCACACAGCTCCACAGAGCTCCTCACACCTCCACAGAGCTCCACACAGCTCCACAGAGCTCCTCACACCTCCACAGAGCTCCACACAGCTCCTCACATCTCCTCACGCCTCCACAGAGCTCCACACAGCTCCACAGAGCTCCACAGAGCTCCACAGAGCTCCTCACACCTCCACAGAGCTCCACAGAGCTCCACAGACCTCCTCACACCTCCACAGAGCTCCACACAGCTCCACACAGCTCCACAGAGCCCTCCAACCTTTTGGAGCCTCCCTGTGGCGAGCCCCTGCACTCTTTTTTTGAGCTTCCAAGGACCTTTAAGTTCAGACCCTCAAAACCTGATAAAACTGCTTAAACCCTGTGAAGCATCATCCAGCACGTCCTCCGACACACAACGGTCCTCCTAAACACCTGGAATCTCTCATCAGTGATCCCAGGACCCTAAAACCTTCAGATCAAACCCCAGACATCACTGGAACATGTCCAGAGACCTGAAACGTGTTTCTGAGGACACGTGAAACACCTCAGAGCCCCACAGAGACCCTCACCTGCCCCTAACAAGCTCCTCCAGGACCTAAAACCTGGACCTCACAGTCACCCTGACCCCTCCAGCCTCCTCAAGGACCTTTCCAGGGATTCTGACCGTGTGACATCAGGATGAGTCAGCTCCACGCCCTGTGACCCCGTCACTCTGCTGCTGATGGTGTTCTATTATTACACTTGTACCGAGCTACATCACAGCGCCACACACCACACGCCTGCACACTCACAGCTGCAGGCGGGCTGATGCTGCCCCCTGTTGGTCAGATGAAGTACTGCATCCACACTCACACAAAACCAGAAACAATGAATTAAATATTCACTTACATGAGTTATCATTTGTGTCATATTCGTACATCTGGAATTATTTGTGCAGAGCAATTTATTTTAGCTTGTCAGAAAAGACCTGACCAATGAAAAAACTGACACAACTGATACTAGATGGTTAAAACACACTAAACTCTGTGTGTATATGAGTGTGTGTGTGTGCACGTACTGTGATTGCAGCTGGGTGTGTGTATCCGTCCAGGTGTGCGTGGCTCAGCTCAACGCTGCGTCCTTGGGTCATGTGACCGGGGCTGGGATCAACAGGTGGAGTCTCATCGTCTTGGTAACGGTACTTCTGCATTGAAACAGACTGGGGTTAGCATTAGCTGTTAGCATGAGGACCCTGTGCCCACAGCTGAGACACCTCCACTGTCCTTGTTCCTGGACCTCCTCAGGAGCTCCGACACATCACCAGGACTCCCTGCAGTCCATCCGAGGAACAAGGAGGAACTCCAAACTCCTGAAACCTCCTCTAACCCTGTTTCTATCTGACCGCCTCGCAAACACTTGGAGGCCCTCTGGAACCTCCTCAACAACCCCTGTAAGCCCACAGGGCTCCATCAGCCTCCACACGGAGCTCTGTGGGCTTCTGTGGATCATCCAGACCCCCTGAGGAGCTCTCACACCGTCCTCATAATCCTGTTAAACAGGTTTACCAATGCATCGATCACACAGGTCGTCTGTCACAGATCATTACGTTTGTGTTTATTAACTCTTTATTACCATGATGTCACCATCGATGAGGGGTTACATCGATGACTCATCCTCACATCAAACATCTATAATCCACAAAATAGCAATAACATTAATTATTCACAAGAGAACAGAAACACTGTCCACACACACACACAACACAATACAGTTTTATATAGCACGTTTAAAACCAGCGGGAACACAAAGTGCTTCACAGTCAGGAATAAACAGATCACACTGAACAGTA